TAAAAGTTTTTTTCTCGTCTTTATAGCTGCAAATTGGTCAATAACATCCTTTAAATTTAATTGAGCTGCTATTTCGGCTTTAGTAGCTATTAGGTATAGTGCAGACAAAATGATTTGCGCAATTGTTGTTCTTAAATGTTCTTAAATCATCTCAAATAAATCTATTTCAGTTTTATACAAAGTTACTTGAATTACGGGAATATTGCGTGGTGTAGTACATCTAAAAGCAAGCTTGAAACACTCTATCGAAAACAGAAACATGCCTTAAAAATATAAAATTTTAAAAATAAAAACGAACATGCAAAACCACTGTTCGAAATTATTTATATATTTACGTTTTACGAGATAAACGTTTATAAAAATATATGTCTCATGTACAAAAGTAAATTTCAACAATGCCCCTCAATTTTTAATGATCTTTATGAAATTTAATCTTACATTAAATATACTTTACGCACAACAGGCATAATTGAACCGTTGTGCAAAACTAAACAAGAACAATTTAAAATTACGTATCGTGCTCCGCATATCTGAAATAAAATCTTAGCAAAATATAGTAATTTACCAGGTGTAAACAATATAAATTGCTTTCAAAAACTAATAAAAAAGAATATTTAAAAGTATACAAATCTTATGATTTTTTTTTTTTTTTTTTTTTTTTTTTTTTTTTACATTGAAATTTTTTTAGTTTTAACACTATTTACCTTAGTTAACTAAGATTTGTCTTTTTACATTGAAATTTTTTTAGTTTTAACACTATTTACCTTAGTTAACTAAGATTTGCTTTGACCACTATTATAGGAATTTAATATTGTAAAAACATAATTATTACAACGGTTCTTGATGATAAGACTTAATGATCTTCTGTAAGTTTCCCGCATTTTTATTTATTTTTGTATAAGTAACTCTTATTATTTTGACTTATTATTTTAATACTTTATATTTATAACTGGTTTATTTTTGAAAGAATAAGAGTATCTGGTAGTATATTACTGATTTTAATTGTAACAAAAACGGAAAATTAAAAATAAAATAAAAAAAATAAAAAAATAAATGTGTTTTAAGGTGCTTAAGGATTATTTTGCAGTTGCTCCGCTAATGGCTAATGTCAAATAAACATAAGCGTTGGTATAATATTTTCAAACAATAAACAATTTATATTGTAAGACGTTATTGTGGATAAGAGTAAAATGCGAAAATTTTCAATGAGTAAAAAACGGAAAAAAAGTGCTAAAAATTTTTGTTAACCTTAAGCTTATCCCTACCCCAAACAAAACGCTTAATCAATAATTATAGATTCAATCTTCTTAGCCTTAGTAATAAAGATGTCTTATGCTAGAAGCTTATTTGTTACTTGGCGTTAAATAGATTTGACCAAGGTTTAATAGATTTGACCATCATCAGTTTTTAAATAAGAAGCCCAAAAATACACTGTATATTAATGGTGTGGTAAAAAGTAAACACTTATATTATATCTGAGAGGAAAAATGTGCAAAATGTTATTTTAGTTTAACCTTTTCGAAGTTTTAAAGTCAACCAATTCATATACTATGGTGTTACAAGAACATTCTAGCCGACGTTATAATGTTACAAGTAATAAAACCTTAGAATGTTGCTAGACATTTTAAAACTTGCATTAGGTAAACATTCTAGCCGACGTGTTTTTTTTTCTTTTTGTATCTGAAAAACTATAAATTAAAAAAAAAAAAAAAATATCCTTTGACTTTTTTAATGATATATAACTCTTAGAATAGCATTAATCACATTTAAGAATTTTTCATAGACATAAACAAATTTTATCATTTTCATAACAGACTAAATAAAGAAAAAGTGTAAGCAAACCAACAGACAGTTCTATTTAATTTAGTCTTTATATTTATAAAGTTATCGTTTTTATGATTGCTATCTACTTCATTTATAAAGGTTTTATAATCGGAGAGTGGAACTTCTGTCGTTTATCGTTGATGACTAATGCCACTTTGCAGCTAAATAGCTTTAATATATAATTAATTATCGAGAGTTTGTATAACGTTGTTTCAAAACATGACATATTGAATTATGCAAAAGTTGCTACAGTTTATTTGCATTTTGAATTAACTCCAAGTCCAATATAAATTGATACGCTTCAAAATTTTTGACATTATTTCAAAAAATTATAGGCTTGTGAGACAAAATCCGTTAAAAAGATGGTTTTTAATCACTTGTAACATCAATATATTATTTAAACTATTTTTCTCCTTTTTAATAAAAAATGAAATGTATGTAGGTATGTAAATAAATGTATGTAGAAAAAATAAAATGTATGCTAACAAACAAAAAATAAATAAAAAACTGAGCTGACTGTAGCAATTGCTTTCTTGCTACAGTCTAGATCCATTCCTACCTTGGGTTTGACATTATTAAAGAATTTCACCAACTCCATTGTATATTTTTTCTTATTTCCCAGACAAACATCTTGAATTTTACGTTCATTGTCTTCGTCATTGCCGATTTCCTTATTAGCGCTGATGCCAAAGTCTCGCATCAACTTTATATTCATCTAAATGAACTAAATATGATTTCAATAATAATATTATTCATTATATATTCTATACGTTACAGTATTTAAACGATTTTATTTAAATTTTAACAAACATCAAAACATTTTTTTTTAAATGATTTTATCAACTGAAATTTTTACACACACAACATTTTACTTTAATTAGTTAATTTATAATATAAGAAAAATCATGATATAAGTAAATCACTGCTGCGTTGTCGACATTGAGACAAAAAACATTTTTATTTTTAGATAGTTTTATTGATTCCAAATTTATCAAAGCACTTTTATAGAGTATTCAGCCGTTTGTTTTCCCTTTTAATAAATCGTTCTAGAAATAGTTATAATAGAATAGTTACAAAAACTTTATTATTGTTAAATAATTACACATTTTTACCAAAGATAACACATATGCATTATTGTATAACCAAGTTTTAAATAAATAAACATTTTCGATAATTTATTTTTGATTTGTTTGTGGTTTTATTTTAGCAAGTTCGCATATTTGAATTCTCATAATTTCTCTAATAATTTCAAATCCAAGTGAGACCCTTTTCCGCAAAAGTTGAAATCAATCATTCCTAACATAATGCATTATACTCTTTTTCACGTAAATAAGATTCCGCAGCCGCGTTTAGTTATTGGCCTTTATTGTGCATTAATTTAAAATGTGGAAGATAAAAATTTGAAGTAATTTTTTGATCATTTAATGTTATCCATGTTTCTGTTAAGCTATAAAAGTTACCGATCGATCGTCTATAGAAAACGTTTTTAAAATAGTAAATGTTTATCAAAAAAAGGCAAATTAACTTTTTTTTTAGTTTTAACAAAATCTGATGCAGCTATGAATTTTTTTGAAATCACACAATCACTGAGGGAAATACTTGTTAGCATGATTAAAATAAATGCATTTGAAAATATTTTTCCAAGCCTGTAAGCATCGTTTTTTCAGGCTTTTTTTGAGGTTAAAAAAATACAAAAAACAAAAATCTAGATGACAGAAAACTTAAAAAATATTAAAATCCATTGACAAAACATGAAGACAAGATAGAATGTTATTGCTTTTAAAGCATCAAAATGTCAAAACTAGAAAATAAATAAATGTGTTTGAGTTTTTAGAATTGGGTATAGTAAAATGATGCAACTTAAGAGAAAGAGTATTCACACAAGTTTTTTGTTGGCAGGTATAACATGAAATAATAGCTCGTTTGAGCAGCCATTATGTTAATATTAGTAGAAAATCGAGAGAGATACAAAATAACAATGATAGAGCAGGGAAAATTCTTATTAGCAAAAAAGACTAGACAGCGCTAGGGTATTCCAAGACAGAAAATACATCGGATGACCCAGTTAGCAAAAACATCCTTTGCATTTTCCAAGCAAACACTATATATATATATATAAAAAACGGATTTCTATCGGAAAAACGGAAAAGTTACACAACGTGTTTTATATAAATTCAACCTCAGGCAAAAAATTGCATTTAAAAAAAATTGATTGTTTTGCAACAGAAAATTATAAAAATTGTAAAAAAGTTATTAAAAATAGTATTGATTTCTGAGCGATTGTCTAACACTTTATCTTTAAAAAGTATATAAATTTTAATACTTCGCAGACTAATTGGGATAAAATAAAGATACTATACTTGATTTTAGAGATTTTTTGGAAACTTAATAATTCAGCAAGTTTTAGTTACTTTATAATCCCTTTTTCAACATTCTAGAATTTACCTAAATACATTCATTAATTGAAATATTTTCGTAGATCCTTAACTTTTCCAGAATTTTCCGTAAGTTTTATAAAAAAAGCTTTCCTGGATTTTCTGGAATTTCATAGAAAAAAAATTCTGGGGTTTTCGGGAAGTTATAAACTCGTCTACTCGTATAACTATCATGTTTTGAAAGTTAAAATGAAAGAACATGTTTTGCTGTGTTAAATTTTTAGAATTTTTTTATCAATATAGATTTTTTTTGAGCACATGAATAGTTTAACTTTTATTTTTTGAATAAAAATGTTTTGTGTAAAACTTTGTTTTTAATGTATTTATTGTTGCTTAAAACTTGGTTTGTGCATCAGATACGAATTAAAGGTATTCTCAGACTATTTTCTAATACATTCTGGCATCAGCAAAAACCTTTTTTTTGCTACCTGCCAAAAATCATAAAAAAAAAAGACCTTCTGACACCCTGCTAATCTAGCCAAAAAAGATACCTGTTTTTAACTTAGGTTCCGCTATACACCCCGGTAGTTGGGGGAGGTTGTATCATAATAAATATTTGAACATTGATAATGTTTAAATATGTATTATAATATAAGATATTAATGTGTGTATGTTTTAGTTATGTTAAAGAAGGTCTATATAACAATAATTGAATATAAAGCTGTATTCAAGTCTAGAATCATAATAATTTTCTCTTTGATTACACACAAAAAAGTTGCGTGACAAACTTTTTTACATTAGATGTTGATGAATGCAGAGCTTTAAACAAACCCTGCAATTGGGCTAATGGTGTTTGTATAAACACTAATGGAAGCTACTTTTGTGCATGTGAGTCAGGATGGTTGTTGGATAAAAATAATGACAGCTGTGTTGGTGAGTTTTTTATAAAATCTTTGTTATAAACAATTTTTTATTGTTAATATTTGTGTGGATATCTTACAAATTCTAAATAACAGTTAAAGCAAATAACAAAAAATATTTTAATTTGATACTGTTTTTCTGTTGAAAGTTATACAACTTATAAATTCTTTTTATTTAATAACACACAAAAAGGTGTTATTTGAGTTAATTGTATGTGTATATATAAATTTTTAGTTATAATGTTAATTGATACGACCAAAAGTATTTATCATCAGTTTATTAAGCTTAACGAAGGAAATTATTGAATATAAAACTTATATCAAGATGAAAATTGTATCTCTATTTGTTTATTTTCTTTCGAATAATACACTAAAGAGTAACGTAAATATAATTTTTTTACGCTAGATATTAATGAATGTACAGCTTTAAACAAAGCCTGTAACTGGACTAACAGTATTTGTACAAACACTAATGGAAGCTATCTTTGTGCATGTGAGTCTGGATGGCTGTTGGATAAAAATAATGAAAGCTGTGTTGGTAAGTTGTTTGATTTAACATTTTGTTACATAATTGTAAAATGAATTTTATAGTAAATTACTCTTAGATGGTTAATAGCTGTTAAACTGAAGCTATCGATTGTTTGAAAATTTGATCTATAATCATTCTTTCTAAACTTCCCTTTAAATTACAAATATAAGTTTTCAAATAGTCAAGCTATAGAGTATTTATGCAAAATATCTAGTTTTTAAATTTTACCAAAGAGTTTTCTAATCATTTTTAACTTATTTAAATATTTTATAACATAATCTTTTTTTGTATAAAAATTTATTGTATCTACTTATGATATTCCTATTTTTATTATTAAAAAACATATAAAGTATATTTTCCTTGCGATTATTTATTTAATATTATGTTATACATTTATATATATATATATATATATATATATATATATATATATATATATATATATATATATATATATATATATATATATATATATATATATATATATATATATATACATTTAAATATATATATATATATATATATATATATATATATATATATATATATATATATATATATATATATATATATATATATACATTTAAATATATATATATATATATATATATATATATATATATATATATATATATAATATATATATATATATATATATATATATATATATATATATGTATATATATATATATATATATATATATATATATATATATATATATATATATATATATATATATATATATATATAGTTTATGTTATATTCGTATATATATACGAATATAACATAAATAAATAATAAAAAGATAATAGTATTGAATAACGTAAATGATATTCGCATATATATACGAATTTAAGATTCTTAATCTAAACTTATTAATAAACTTAGGCTCTGCTCTTTTAATATTCTTCTAGTAGAAAATTTCCTACTAAACGGAATATTTATCTCACAAAGACAAATTAAGTTTCTTTTCCTTATTAGATACAGCATTTCAAAAGAAAATTAGAAACTGGTTATTTAAAAAGAAAAAGGGCTAAAGAAAAGCAAGTCTTATTTAAAAACATGCAAATATATATATATTTTTACAAACAGGTAATAAATCTTTAATTAACAACAGTGTAACTATAGTAACTAATAATGATAAACCATCTAGATCTTCGATAAACAAAGAACTAAATATTAATAACAATGGTAATAATTGTTTTATAGTCATAAAGACAAAAGATCGAATGCACAATGCATACTTGCGCATTAAGTAAGTTGAGATAATGTTGAGAGATCTTCTTATCATCACTCATAGAAGAAAAAACATTTATGAAAAAAATATTAAAAAGATTTGATATTAAATTGTGAACGATGTTTTTTAGTTTAATATTTATTAGAATAAAGATAATGTTTTCATGAGTATCATTTATCAGTATAGAGTACATTTAACAAAATAGTCTATATCACATTAAACTGTTATTTGTTTTTCTTTTTGTCTCGTTATTCAATTTAGCGTGCTTTTATGTTTCAGCTTAGGGAGGCTACAGAGTATGTTTGCATGAAATTTCCATCATGCGGAAATCCGACGTATCAAAAAGACATCAAGCAAATAAAACCTCGTTTCTATTTAAGATTTTTGTGCGTTATCCAGACGTTATGTCCATTGAGAATTTTTCAATAATTTACTATTAAATTTCAATCATAAGATGTTTGTGATAGTAAAAAAGTTTAATACAATCACTAAATTTTATTGATGAACAAGCAGATCATCTTAACAAACACAAACTTAAATCTTAATAAATATTTATTTGGTCGACTGTATTTTAAAAACAGTTTCTTTTTATATTTATATATATATATATTTTT